CTGTTGCGATATGCGTTAAGTCGGTTAATTGCACGGTAAATTAAAAGGGATTAATTGCCACATTCATGCATGTTTGTTTTCCTCGTCTCTCTCCACCAAAGAGACTGGACGACAAGAGCGTTCGCTTCCGTGCATCGTCTGGCAGCCAGGTGAGTTGGTTCATTAACATAATGAATGGAGGGAAAGCTCTTGTCATCGAGTGTCTTTGTCTCTGTGGGGGAGGCGGGGCTATGGGCTACACAGACAGAGTGCGATCTTCGTGAGGGGGAGACGAGGCGGAGAAGAAAACAGAGTTGAGCGTAAGAGAAAGACATGGAAGTCTGAGAGTGTTTTGGATTTAAACCAAATGACAGAGGGCAGCCCAGTAATTTGGACGAGCCAGTGTGCCGGGTTTGTTCTAAAACCATCTCAACAAAAAGAGCGAATATGACCAACTTAACTGCACACCTGCTACAACAGTAACATGCTGCTCTAACACTGATGCTTCAGTATTAATAATCTAATGATGCCATATATAATAATATCAGTCAGAGGAACCAAACACTACTTCTACTGCAATACTTTAACTACATTTTTCCCTCTCAGAACTGGTTCTTATGACGTGTTGTCTGACCACATGACGGGCGTCATTCTTGTGGGATTGGGACAGGATATTTCTTTTCCTTTTTCATGGGATTAGGACGGGATGGGATTATTTTTGTGGGAGTGGGATGGGACGGGACTGAAAATCCACTCCCATGTCACCCTCTACCATGTTGTAAGAAATGCCAGTGAAGAAACCTGTTTGTTAGGCTCATCCTAAATGTATCCTGGGGAGTTTAAACCACTAGCAATGCTGTGGAGCAACGTTTTGATAAGCAGGTCCCTGTTTTGTTTGAATTCACATAAAGGGACCCACATACAACAGCACAAGGGCAGAGTTATATATATTTTAGTGCAGATAGTTTCATGCTATTCCACCAATCGACAGTTGGCATGAAACAAGGAAAACTGCCAGAAAAGGCAAACAAGTTGAGCTAGCACACATTTGCAGGTTGCAAAATATATCTTTTTTTTAATCTGCTTTTGAAATATCTATGAGAAAATGCATTCATGTTAATCTTCAAGCATAGACACAATATGTTTTGGTGAGAAACATCAAATGCAAACATAAATGTAAAACTCCACAGGATACCTTTAAGGTCCCAACAGCAAATAAAGTGAATAAAGTCACACTTTGATTTGGGCTTAGAAAAAGGTGCAGTCATTAATGTGATGGTGAGAGCTGTAATAGCTCCAGTAGAAATTTAACCTCAATGTTCCATAGAGGTGGGCATCAAACTTGATTCTGCTGGGTTCACAGTCAAAGCAGTGAAGCGGTCCATCACCCTCTTTCTATGTGATTCTTCCTGATTTCTGAGAGCCAGAGCCTGAACAGATCCTCCCAGTTTCAACGCTGAACATACACATCAATGCACTGTTATTTTTCTCCCATCAGTTATTGCTTCGTCTGCTGTTTAATGCCAGTAGAGTACCATAGGACTGCTCAAACTAGAAGAAGCATTGATTTAAGTGAAGCAGTTATTTAGCAGCATGTTGACCAACTAGTAAAAATGATGGGCCATCAGGTGATGTTAAATGATAATTGCTTCCTGCAGCCTCGTCTTTTAAATACCCTTTTTAATCATCTGGCATCATATTTGACCACTGGAAGCACTGTTGAGCTTGAGGCCAAAGTACTGGAAACAGCTTCAAGAATCCAGGGTTAGGGGACCCTAACCCCTACCTCTATACTGTTACATGTCCACAACATTTAAAAGTCTACTTCATCACAATTCTGGGCAGCAGTAGCTCAGTCCATAGGGACTTGGGTTGGGAATCGGGGGATCACCATTTCAAGTCCCCGTCCAGACCAAATATGGAGCGTGGACTGGTAGCTGGAGAGGTGACAGTTCACCTCCTGGACACTGCAGAGGTGCCCCTGAGCAAGGCACCAACCCCCCCCCCCCAAACCACTCATGGGCACCCCCCTCACTCTGCCATCTCTCCATTTAGTGCATGTACAGGTCCTGTTTGTGCAGGTGTGTATTTTGGGCCTGTGGACACCTGCGAGGGAAATCTCAAATGACTTTAAACATCAAAGTGTGCTTACAGATCTTGGGGAGTACTACTGAATATGTAAAAGTTGTATAATGCCTTTTCTGTCTTAAGTCTGACAAATGTTCTTACGTGATGTTACTTGAGTCAACATCAAATTGAAATTGAAAACAAACTGGAGGAGTTAGGAAGAAATAAGCCTCCCAGACTGGCGCCAGGTTTTAATAAGAGAGAAGTACTCTTTGAACGTGACATCCACATGTGATAGTGTAGAACAGGTCAAAAACATGGTCACTGCTACTCAAACAACTTCCACCCTTCTGATTTCAGGCTTTCTGTCAGACGTTATATATATATATGTGTCTGTATATATA